AAGATGTGTTTTATGCACCAGGAATTCGGTGTAATCTGTTCTCTGTTCCTAGTTTGATGAAGAAACGACTGGAAGTTAGGTTCTATAATAACTGGGTTTCTATAGGAAATAATAATAATGTGTATTCTATGGGAAAATATATGTCCGAACATGAATTATGCATTCTTCCACTAGTTTGTAATAATTCTGATAATAAAATTTCAAATTTGAGCTATTTCTCCTGTTATATTTCTGAGTCTGAATTGCATTCTAGACTAGGACATACTAGTATTTTAAAAATAAAAGAAATTATCAAAATAAACTTACTTCCTGCACTATCTAATGTTCAATTACCACCATGTAAACATTGTTTAACTGGTAAAATGACTAGAAAGCCTTTTATTGGCAGACAAAGAGTCAATGAACTTTTAGCATTGATACTCGGATATTTGTGGTCCCCTAAGTGTTAAAACTCATAGTAATAAAGAATATTTTATTACTTTTATAGATGATTATTCTAAGTTTGTACATGTCTATCAAAACTCATAGTAATAAAGAATATTTTATTACTTTTATAGATGATTATTCTAAGTTTGTACATGTCTATCTTATATCTAGAAAATTAGAAGCTCTTGATTACTTTTATAGATGATTATTCTAAGTTTGTACATGTCTATCTTATATCTAGAAAATTAGAAGCTCTTGACTGCTTTAAGAGATAAGACAGAAGTTGAGAACCAACTTGGAATGAAAATTAAAATTTTAAAAACCGATAGAGGTGGGGAATATAACTCTAAAGAATTTGAGAGCTATTGTATTCAGCGTGGAATTAAAAGGTATATAACAATGTCGTATACACCACAACAGAATGGTGTTGCTGAAATAAAGAACAGAACATCGTGTTGATGGATCTATCGATAAATTCAAAGCACGATTAGTTGCCAAGGATTACAACCAGAATGTGGGAATAGATTTTCAGGAGACGTATTCTCCTGTAGCTAAATTTGAATCCGTTCGAATTATTTTGGCTATTGTTGTATATCTTGATTTGAAGTTATTCCAAATGGATGTCAAAACTGCATTCCTTAACAGAGATTTAAAGGAAGCGATATATATACAACCTGAAGGTTTTCAGGTGAAAAGACAAGAACATAAAATTTACAAATTAATAAAATCACTATACGGTTTAAAACAGTCTTCTAGACAATGATATCTCAAATTTTATGATGTAGTCACTAAACTTGGTTTTATTCAAAATAAATTAGATAATTGTGTATATATCTTGAAAAATGAGAGCAAATTTACTATATTATCCTTATATGTAGATGATATATTGCTTGCTAAAAATAATATAGAAATATTGAATAAAATCAAGACAGATCTCAGCGAAAAGTTTAAGATGAAAGATATTGGAGATGCATCATATATTCTTGGAATTCAAATAATTCGAGATAAAAAGTCTAGAATGCTAAGTTTAAACCAAGAAAAATACTTAAGATCAGTTCTTAAAAGATTTGGAATGGAGAATTTCAATCCGACGCCAACTCCGTTAGTCATGGGAAAGAGATTATGTAAAAACCAAAGTCCTGAAGAAGGGCAAAAGCCATTAGGTGTTCCTTATGCTCAAGCAATTGAAAACTTGATATATACAATGTTGTGCACCAGACTTGATATAGCTTATGTTGTAAGTCTAGTTAGTCGATATCAAAGTAATCCAAGACAGCACATTGGGAAGTTGTTAAAAGGATTATAAAGTATATCATAGATACATTGTCTAATAGATTCGTTTATCAAGCCGATTCGCTTGATCTTCTCGATTATTCTGATGTTGATTTCAAAGGTGATAAAGATGATGAAAAGTCTACTTCAGGACACTTATTCATCTTTGGAGGAGCTGTTTCTTGGAGTAACAAGAAACAAAGGTCTGTTGCTAAATATACACAAGAAACTGAATATATAGTTTGCAGTATGACAACTACACATGCTGTCTGGATAAGACGGTTTTTAATTGATCTAGATCTTAATTTGTTAAAAGGACACTATTTATATTTATTGTGATAATCAAGCAGCAATTAGCTTAATCAATAGTAGCGCGAATAGCTCCAAGGAAAAACACATTGAGATCTAGTATTACTATATTCGAGATATTATAGAAAATGGACAAGTTAAAGTGACTTTTATATCTCTACTACAGATATGATTGTTGATCTTTTGACAAAAGGAATACCAACAGAATTTTTTATCAAACATATAAGTTTGATGAGACTTAGAAATAAATAAGTCTAAATTTTCATAAATAATGAAATAAAAGTTGTTTTCTACGAAAATTAGGAGTAATGGTAAGTAGAAATATGGATCTTACAAATGGTGGGAATCATATCACTTGGTTAATTTGGTCAAGTGGGAGATGTTACTTTGACTTGGTCTTGTGTGACCAAATCAACCATTCGCAGTTGAGAGAATCGTGGGAAATGGGGTTTGTTGAGAGAATATCTCTCAAAGGCGGTTATTTGAGGGGGTGGCAATGATGAGTTTTGCCAGTATATAAAGTGGAGTGTTCTCTTTGAGAAAATACAACACAGAAACAAAAAACCCCTATCTTATTACCAGAGCCCCCTCAAAAACCCATCATTCTTTCCCCTCTTCTCTGTTTCGTACACCAATCACCAACAATAAGCTAACATAAACTCCATCTTCTCCTCTCTCTTCTCATCCACAGGTCCCATTTATTTATGCGTATTTGCTTGCACTCATGAACTTATTATAATCTAGATTCCTTGTCCTGCGTCAAACGATCAGAACATAAACGAAAAACACATGTTGCTCAAATTGGCTTGTCCATTTGGTATGCAAGAAACCATTGAGTGTGGGGCACACACATAAATTCAGGACTCTTAAGCATATTAAACATTCTCCGAGGTAATAGAACACCACCACAATAGAAGTCATCCAAGATAAAGTGGACAACTTCCACATCTCATGAAAACACAACTCTTTACAGAATAAACAAATATGCTTCAGATAATCATTTTACAAAGAGCAGTTCTATGTGAATGCAACTCAAAAATGCATTGCCTACTATCCTTGAATCTCCCTGCAACATACAGTTTTTTTTAGTGCTATAAAAAGATTGATGTTCTCCCAAAACAGAAACTAGCATAGATGCGTAAGAAAGATATTATACGGTTGTCACATAGAGAGCCATCTAGTTATATAGATTTTAGAACACGAACTTGATTTCAGAATCATGGCAATTTCCAAAAAATCCCATGTATTTTAAAGCAGCTCTGACTTCCATTATGATGCTCAAATACACATGGGTTTGCGAGTGAGTGACATACATGTGACTATGTTATTAACTAAGAAAATGTTTATATTTTATAAAAAAAATAAATGATATTACTAGCATATAATATAATTATTATTACAATACATATTCTTAAAAAAATATTAATGAATAAACTTTTACTAAAAACACTTTAATTACTTAAGTAAAATAATATAACTTTGTTAAAATGTAGTGTTTTATTCAAAGGTAATTTTCTTAGAATTATTTTATAAATATTTAACAAAGAATATAATATATTTTAAAACATAATTTATTATAGATCATATTTTTTAATGCAATATTAGTTTTAACTGTAAACAATAATGTTTTACCAAATAAAATATCTTCTTTTGTAAGATTTATTAGTAAATATATGACTTAATGCAGGAATTTTAATTTTAGCTCAGAAAAATAATAAGAATCTATTATAGTCTCATTATTCTAAACATACTTTTTCTTAAAAATATTACTTTGCTGTAGAACTTTTTTTAAATACAATATTATTAACATGATACCTCTATAAAATAATATTAATCTTATTGGAAAAAATATATTCTTATCATTATTTATGCTAACAACTTTGCTTAATTAAAAATTAATTTTATAAAAAAAAGTACTCTTTTACTAATATATCAACAATGGCGGATCCAGAAAGATTTTCTTAAGAGGCGCGAACGTCCAGTGTCTACATACCTAAATGATAATGGGCTACTAATTTCTAATGGGTTTAATGAAAATGGGCTACTAATTGGTAAATGTAAAAAGCAAGTTGCTCGAAAATTCAGGCTGTAGTGCAAAAATTTTTAAAACTACAAGGGGCAAATTGTAGTTATAGAAGGCTTTAAAAGGTGTGCAATTGCGCCCCTAACTTGCGACATACATCCACCCTCGTATATCAGTACTCTATGTTGTAATATAAATTAATATATATTAACTTGTTACAACAAAAAATATGATCTAGTATTAATACATAATATATTGCTTTATTATCTTATTATTTTGTTAATAGGATCTTTTAGCAAGTAATATGTTTTATATAATAAATAAACTATTTCACTTAAATGATAACTGATACTTTATTGAAAATATTATTTTTACAATAGTAATTTTTTATTTTGCTGAAATAATTTTTTAATTAAAGCTAATATCATTTTATTGATAACGATAGTGTTCTAATGAAAATAGTATTACTATGTCAAGCTACTTTGATTATAAATAATTTCATTTTAATTAATTGCCTAACTATTATTTTAATGAAGTGCAATATTACTTTACTAAAGTAATATTATTTGTTTAGAAATAATATTATTATTTCAATAGAAACAATAATAAGATGAGAGTAAAAAGATGAATTCGAGAACCATTAGGATGCCTATTGACCATTACTATTGAAGTGTGCTAAAGATCAGCTTATATATAATATGATTTCTGTCATTTTAGCCACCTGTCTTGCTAACTTTAAACTTTGAAATCCTTCAAACTTCCACCTCGTCCTTTTTAAATCCTCTACACCAACTCCCCCTTACTGTTTCTCATAACTCGGTAATCAAAAAAAGAATGACACAAAAATGATATGAAGGACCAGAAAAAAGAATAAGAATATTTATTAACTGAGCAATCTGTAAGTACAAAATGCAGAAAATAAATTGGCATATTATATTCTTTAAGTGAAGGATTTAACATTGTAAGTTACCAATTTCATGGTCCTGCTTTAGAGCAGCAGCCATACACAATGCTGTTCCAGTAGGACTTGGTATGTCAATTGCTTCGTATATCTCTTTTTGTGATGCAACCTCCACCCATCTTTTTACAATAGCCACATTCCATGATTCAATGCACAAGTGCAGTGGCCTGCACATCAAGGAAAAGGTTTTAGAACCAGAAGACAAAAGCATCAAACACTGTAAATGAAACATGTACACTATAATGTAGATCCATATGCAGGCATCTATCTCAGGAGCAACCAGAAGTATCAGAGTCTTAGAGACAAAAAGTATACAACAAATTTATTGGGTTAATATGAAAAGTATGCAGGAAGTGTTGTGTCCAACTAGTTCAGTAACAAGGATGTCAAGGATAAATCATTGATGTCCTTAGCCCAATATATGCAGATAATGTGATATAAGATTGCTTATTAAGCAAATGATAGCAGAAAATATACAGCTATTGTCTGATTCCTATAGCTGGTGAGAATGTTATTCACAAAAGAGTGCTTGTGCTGAATAAAACAGTGTAACATCAAGGCAGATTGTCAACAAGGAGAATGACAACCTATGTCACCTGGTACTTCTCATATGAAGCCGAACCCGTACCCAACACTTGTCGTACCCGTACCCATACACCAACACTTCTTGGACACTCCTTCAAAATATGCATATATTTATACAGACATGTACTCAATTATACAATGCTTGTTTTCATTTAAAACATTCGTCACTGACGACACAGTTTCCTTCTGACATAGAAAAGATTTCAGCATGTAATTCTAATGATAATGGCCTCCCGCCTCCATTACAAACTGGTACTGCAAACAAGTGGAACATGCGAGCAGTGGCGGGGCCAGAATTTTTTTTGGGTTAGGGGGTCAAAAAGTAAATAAAAACAGCGTATTAAAGCAGGGGAGAGAGAGGGAACACTTGCAAGAAACCAAAACAACTCCCAATATTTTGCAGGACAAAATATATTTGTTGCGGATAAAAGTAGATATAGTTCTTAACTCAAAGTTGACTTTATCTTTTAGGATTTACATATGATATTTGATTAGATTGAGTTATCTACATTCTTTAGGATAGAGTTATTTTGGATTTTGAATTGTCGTAGGATTAGGTCATGATTTGAATTTTAAATTCTAGTTTTGAATTTTGAAAATGTATTAGAGATAGGTTCACAACTCTATATAAAGAGTTGTGACTTTCAAGGCAAGCATGAACAAAATTTATGAAAATTTTGAGAAAAAATTAGCAAGAGATTTGCTATCCGACTTTTCTTGTATCTAGATTTTTCAGATGTTAGTCCCTCTTCCGTAATTCCATATTAGTCCCTCAATTCTTTGAAATTGCTGATTAGTTTCTCAGATTCTATGAGGTTTTTCAAATTCGTCAATTTTTAGGTTTTTTAAAGCTAAAATTTCAAATCATGGTTGGTAAACTAGTAACCCAGGACTCCCAATTATCAAATTACAGGTTAGCTATAAGATATATAGATTTTAGGGGGAATACAATCTTCGGAAAGCTCACAAATGGATTGGAATTGTTCTCTAATTGTTGGTGATGATAAGTTCAATGGGCTTGAATTTTATTTTAAGGTTTATACCAATTAAGAAATGAGTTGAGAACCTTAACAAGAGGTAAAACTGGAACATCTCCTCAAACCATTAGATTTGAGAGAATATTCCCCTCAGAACTAATGTGAGATAACCAGAGGGAGCAATTTGTAAGACCTAGAGGATTTGAGGGTCTGATAAACAATTTTAATGATTTGAGGGACTAATATCAATGACTGAAGATTTGAGCGACTAATATCTAAAATGCCCCTCATTTTTCATTCAAACATAATCAGAGAAACAAAAAACCAAAACCGAAGCTGTATTGACGAGCTGCAGCCTCCTTCTCTATCAAGAAAAAGGCAAAAAGAAAAAAATTAAAGTCCCAAAACGCCAAACACCCACCATGACGAGAGAGAGAGAAAGAGAGAGAGAGAGAGAGAGAGAGAGAAATCCCTTTACCCCTTTACCTGCTTTTTCCTCAGCCTTTAGCTTCTAAATCTAAAATCCAACCGGGAAAGCTAAGTTTGTTCGAGCATGAATCAAGCCAAATCAGGACATGTCATGCCTTAATAACAGTTGAGGCCGAGCTTAACTATTTAATCTTGCACATATGACAATGAGCGAACTTCAGATCATAAATATAGAGAAAAGTGCACAGATAAACCAAGTACTAACTCTTAGTAATGAAGAGAACTGCTTTTCCACATGCATTTTTTGCTTTGCAGATAATCAAATGGTGAGCATTTACATGAATCATGATGTCTTCCAATTATTTACAAGACACTCTACTAATGTCCAAAAAAAATTGGTTTCTGATACTACATAACATTATTAAGACTTGAGAAACATTTCGGACGCTCAGAGAATACCCCTTGCATATTTTAGGATCGATACTCTTCTGATAAGTACGCAAGTTCCCAGCATATCTACATTACACTCATTTTTAGTGCTTGAGAAACTCAAATAAACATTTAGCAAGAATAAATATGGCAACTTGTTGAATAATCATTTGTAAGTAATTTATTGCTAATAACTGTAGATAGATTATTGCCCCTGATTAAAAGTAGCTCAGATGCGGTCGGGCACCTTATTCCACTATTGATCTTTTTGTGGGAGGGAGGGAAGGAGAACAGTCGTGCTTCCTACTTATTGAGGACTTTGAAAAAGAGTGAAACAAATACTATATTGCTTGCCTCGAGGATCAAAGAAACTATTTCCCATAAAAAAACGCAGCAAAGGTCCTTACGTTTTTCTTTGGGCATTCAGAATCCCCATTGATCTGCAGCCTCCACTTTCCAATATGATAATAGCACATTCATTGAATTTCTTTGCAACTGCTCTATGCAGTACAGATTCACCTTCATCATCTACTGCATTAGGATCAGCCCCTGCCAGTAATAGCTCCTGTAATCACTCAGAACAGCCATAAGAAAACTACAGATGATAGCAATAAGAGGGAGAAACAATCACAAAAAGGAAACGTATATATGGCAACTCACACGCATGCATTCAGGCTGGCCATGTAAAGCACAATAATGAGCAATAGATGGGCTACAGCCTTGTCTCAGCCTAGAACTAACATCAGCAGACCTATTGATGAGAGCATGAACGCACTCTGGAGAACCAGCATTTAAAGCAAACACAATTGGGGGTTGACCATCTTTGTCTAAAATATTCACATCAGCCTCCTTGTACTCCAAAATAGTTTCAACAAGTTTTACAGAGCCCCTCCTGCATGCTAAATGCAGAGCTGTATGGCCATCCGCATCCTGTGCTTCTAAGAGTGAATAAACTGAACTGCTGCTTCTTCCTACTTTCACAAGAAGGTCCCTAAATACAAGAAAACAAGGAAATAAAGATCAGACAAGGACATAAGAAAGTGCAATACCAGCATCTTCAAAAGGGGAAATTGAGATTCTTCAAATTTACCCATACCTGACACCCCTTACATCTCCTGCAGATACAAGTTGGTGCAGAACACTTGGATTTTCAGGATAAACTTCCAAGACAGATGTTGGGGATGGTTCTGGTGCATTTGTTGAAGGAACATACGTAAAGTCACTGTATTGTACAAAAGAACACAACTTTTTCAGACATTTAAATATCAGGAGGGAGGATCAGCAAATTAAATCAGACTAAGCTTTAAAAAAAGGCACATATTCTCAAATATTGAAGCCTCCCGGGGGGCCAACAAGCTAATGTGGTATAAACAACTGGTCCCCCATTATCCAGGTTATTAAAAACCCTGAATTATATCATTATTAAGGAATCATACATCTTAAAGGAATATGGTTTATTAAATTTCGAAAGAGATATACGAATTGATTGCAGTGATGGAAGGAGCCAACCAAAGGCAGTTAGTAGTTAGTTGGAGACATCAAAAAATCAGCAAGCGTGAAGAACGTTGGCTGGTAGGAGACATAATGACATGAGGATGCAGTGGCTTGCATGGTATTATGGTAATAATAACAAAAGATGGCTATTCACAGAGTGGCAGGTGCACTGATGTAGTTATGGTGGAAGTGGTCAGACTATGCTTTAAAAAAAGGCACATATTCTCAAATATTGAAGATGCCCCCCCCCCCCCTCCCCTGAAGAGGGGAAGGGAGACAGCTTATTCCAGTATAAACAACTGGTACCAAATTATCCAGGTTATAAAAAACCCCAAATTATATCAATATTAAGAAATCATACATCTTAAAGGAATATGGTTTGTTAAATTTTGAAAGAGATATACAGATTGATTGCAGTGATGGAAGAAGCCAAGCAATGGCAGTTAGTAGTTAGTTGAAGACATCAAAAAATCAGCAAGCATGAAGAATGTTGGCTGATAGGAGACTTAATCACATGAGGATGCAGTGGCTTGCATAGTATTATGGTAATAATAACAAAAGATGGCTACTCACTGAGTGGCAGGTGCACTCATGTAGTTATGATGGAAGTGACCATTCAAGCTTAACAGGCTACCATTTACAACCTAAAAGGATATTTATCTGGTAAACAACTTTCAAATGTTATCAACAAGCCCTTAGAGACTTAGGCTCTCTAGCCAAGAAATCTAATATTAAACTTCTATTTTGGTATAGTAATCAAGGCTTTTGAAGAGCCAAGAAATTGTAATGACCAAACCACCTGCTATTGTTGTAGTCCCTAAGATGGTAGGCATCATTTTTCCAATTCTAAGCTTGAAATATGGGAACTTGTCATTGTTGTTAGTCCATTGAGATGGTAAAGAAAAATTATGTGTTTTTTCTTTTACTTTTTTCCATTTCCTGTAGATGTCCATTTTCAATCGGACATTTTCTAAAATGGGCTGATTCACTAATAGCAGTAGAATGAACCACCATGATGATTTATTTTAAACAAAAAAAGACAAAACATCCTAGTGGAAATTAAAAAAATGGTCCAATTGTACTCTAATCACACGTTCTCAAGCATGTTCTGCATCATTTTTTTTCTCCTCTCTCATTTTCTACTTTCTATAAATATAAGATAAGAGTTCTCTCCAAATCCAAACTATTTCTATCCCACACAAAGTAGATGTGAGCTAAACCTTATTCCCAAAACTGTTAATCTATAGAACTCAAGACTAAGGGCAAGTTTGGTACTGCTGGAGCTTATAAATAGTTGTTTATATAAGTAGCTTATAGAAGCAACTTATATAAGTTACTGAAATAGTTGTTTGTTAATCATATATCAAACGTTGCTTCTAAAAGCAGTTTAGATGTTTGGCAAAACTGCGCCTAAAGATTGTTGCGGCCATATATGCTATATAAATATAAACTAAAAAAAAGCAGAAGTTGCTTTTAACAGCATCCTAAGGTTTGCTTCTAAAAGTACCCCTTAAATGTAGAAGCAATTCAATAAGCATCCAAAAAAATTTAGCAAACATCATTATTAATTGTTTCCCAAAAAATAAGCAGAAGCACCCTCAAAAAAGCAACACCAAACTGACCCTAAATTACGTACCTTCATCCATGTTTTCTTCCATCAAAATTGTGAAATCTCTTATAGGCTCCATTACTCGTCCATACAGCCTAACATGTTAACTCTTTTAATATAACTTTTAATACAGTAAGCCAGAAGCTTGTCTTCTTTTCACCATTCTTGACTTTTTTCCCCTAAAGCTGGTGTATAGTTAGTAAGCATATCTTCCTAGATTTTTGTTTTTCATTTGTCCTTTACCAAGAGTACAATTTCAGCTAGAAGTTAACTAAACATTAGCATTTAATGTTAAAGCCACCACCAGCGGAGTTCTGTGAAAAGGTATGCAATTGGTATTGAGAAGGAAACACTTACTCCACGCCACTGATGAAGGGAAAACTAAGCCAGAATAACAATAAGTTAATAACGGCAGCACATATGTGCTCCATGTCAAGAGAAAGACATTTACAAAAGCTCCACTACATCTCAAGTAAATAAAATGCAAAAAAGACTCTTGTGAACAAGAACTAAGCCGCAGGAACAAGAACCAAAAGATCTTAGGGATTTTTTTTTTTTTTTTTTTGAAAAAAGACAAGCACCAAATTTATATGTACAAAAAGGCTTTCATTCACAATGCCTTGTATTTTTTCAGAAACCTAAATTACTGGGTTTTCCTTGTTCATACAGTTAATTCTTTTAAATTAGGATAAGAAACTAGAAACAGTATACAAATTCTTTGCAGATGCATACTAAATAGGATGTATACTTTGAACATATAGGACATATGTATTTACTTATCAGGGCTTGCAGGTGCACTCCGAGGTATCCCTTGCAAATGGCGAAGAAATATTCCTAGCATTGCATGAAAAGTTGGTCTTCTCGATGCCTTGAACTGCAGACATTCCCCAATCATCTTCCACAACTCCCTAGGTATTCCAACACCTACCACGCTTGCATACTGTGGGGGCAAACTCCGAGCCTTTACAACAGCTCGGTATATTTCCTCTGAGCTTAACCCTGCCCATCTGCACACACGTTCATATTATTACAAGAGCATTCATAGTAAAAAGCTGAGAAAAGGTGCTTATTAGGCCACATACGGAATGGAACCAGTACACATTTCCACAAGAGTACATCCAAAACTCCAAGCATCTGACTCCTCAGATATACTACCAATTGCATCATCCCAAAATAGATTCAAAGACTTTTTTATTGGTTCCCATGCCTCTGGAGCAGTATAATGTGGACTTAACAATGTACAATCCATGCATGAATGCATCCTTGAAGAGCCTTCCTCAGGAACAGATCTAGCTCTTCGACATGAAGGTTTCTTGAGAATCTCCAGGAGCCCATAATCAGAAACCACCGCACGGCAGTTTGCATCAAGAAGGAGATTAGATGGTTTTAGATTCATGCATACAACACCTGCAGCATGAAGTTCCGCAACCCCACGAGCAATATCTGCCCCATATCTGCAACCACAATATCAGATGTATCAGTCTAAAGTTCACCGCCATTAAGTTAATACGAAATAGTAGTAAGTAATCCATTAAATTGACCTTGTTCTAATAACTAACAATATGGACTTATGACCTAAAAGTTCTGTAATATTAACATAGGCTCAGACCATATCTATAATGGCTCTTTTGTAGCCTTTAGCAATAATCTTCTGCAACATTAATATAGGCTCTGGAAGCTTTCTCATAGACCTCAATTTAAGATTTCTACGCAGGGATTATTAAAGGTTCTCCCTCCTATGCAGAATTTACTTATTCAGATGGATACACAAGTCAACTTTGCTCGTGCTTCTCCATGAGGTGGAGATAATCCCACATTTGCTTTTGAAAATGATATTTCTCTAAAGAAAAACGAAGGGGATCAACCGGTATGTCATTATGGTGAGTGAATATTGGCTTTATCTCATTTCTTAGTTTTCCAAAGACCCCTAAACTAGGTATCATTAAGTGCTTACATGTCAATTTGCTTGGGATATGACATTAAACTGTAACGTACACAAACCTGAGTCGATATGGAAGATTCTCTTCAGCTACAAAGGTTGATAACAAGATATGTGCTAATGAATGTGATTATAACCATTTCTAACCTTCACTTGTAATTGATTTGCTCTTTGTCCATGAAGCAATTAAATACACTCCCTTTGGGGACATCCACAAGTTCTCTTCTTCAAGGTGAACTATGATAGTTCTGTAGCTAGTCAACTAGATGGCTCTATGTGCAGGTGATATTCTAATTGACATCTAGAACTACATCAGAAGTGTGTCATTCAGAATTAGTTGTTTCTTCACAAATCTGAATCAGCAAGAAGATTATACTGCAAATCATAGAACAGCATGAAAAAGGTAGTCGATTAAACTGTAACGTACACAGACCTGAGTCGATATTGAAGATTCTCTTCAGCTACAAAGGTTGATAACAAGATATGTGCTAATGAATGTGATTATAACCATTTCTAACCTTCACTTGTAATTGATTTGCTCTTTGTCCATGAAGCAATTAAATACACTCCCTTTGGGGACATCCACAAGTTCTCTTCTTCAAGGTGAACTATGATAGTTCTGTAGCTAGTCAACTAGATGGCTCTATGTGCAGGTGATATTCTAATTGACATCTAGAACTACATCAGAAGTGTGTCATTCAGAATTAGTTGTTTCTTCACAAATCTGAATCAGCAAGAAGATTATACTGCAAATCATAGAACAGCATGAAAAAGGTAGTCGATAAACCATACATCTTGAGGGAACAGAACTGTTTTTTTTTTTTTTTTTTTTTTTTTTTTTTGGGGGGTGGGGGCAGAAAAGAGGGGAGGTAAGGAGAGGGAGGGGTGAGAGAGGGAATCATCCCAATAAAACACACACACACACACACACAAGCAAGGAAAGCAAGCATTCACAAATTTGGTTACTTCTTGAAGGGTTTCCAACAAAGAAGTTGTCATTTTAGTTAAATGATGAGTCATTTATATGAAAAAGTCACTCCTCTAAAGTCAATGAAGTTCAAAAGAAATAAATTTTTTTAAGCATCAAACTAGACATAAAATGGATGTCAGAAGTACCATAAACAATATGATGTACAAAAACAAGTCAGCTAATTACACAAAAAATGCCCTATTAACCAAAAAAAACCTCACGCTAACACAAAAACTAACATCAGTAATAGACGAGCAAAGTTAAAAGGGGCAAAGCATGGTTAATACTACTCGGAGGAGGCGCGTGCGCGCGTACTGTTTTCGTAGTTATAAGGAAATGAAAGAAGAAGAAGAAGAAGAAACCTGAGTATTTGCTCCAGAGTAAGTCGACCTTTGTTCTGCCGCATCTCAGCCTGAATGGAGCTGTTATATCTATCCATAATGAGGCACAGGTGATCCTCCATCCTAATAGCCCCGTGGAACGTACAGACGTTCCTGCACCACATTGAAGCCCGTCGCAGATTCTCAAGCTTCCCCTGCACCGCTACCACGTCCATGTCTCCGGTGACGGCACACCTTTTCACTGCAACCTGATGCTTTGCACTTGCCCCCGCCACTGCCACTCCCGCTTCCACCCCCACTGGAAGAGGGGGCAGATGATGAAGACGAGGAAGACAGCACGGCCGACCAGGTCTCCTGCCAGACCTCTTCCCCCCCTCGCCGAGCTGCCTCAGCAGCTTCAGATCATTGTGGGACCCGAGATCTATGGGGGAGCAGCAGCTGCAGACACAGAGGGCCGGGGCAGCCTGCTCCTGCGATGCCTGCTCCTGGAGCTGCTGCTGCAGCCAAAGTAATCGTCCTCCCCGCCATTTGCTGCAGCTGCCGCTGCCCGCTGCTGCTGAGCTGGGAGCATCTTCGTCGACGGATAGCCGGGGCGAAGCGCCTTCGTCCAACAAATTCGTCATCCTCCTCCTCCTCTCCTCGCGCCACCGCCGTCTTCATCGTCGTCCTCGCCCCGTCAGTGAAGTCGCATTCAAAGGAAGGGGAAGAAGGGGAGAGGAGAGGAGGGAGAGTATGGGGAAGTTCTTGCGGAGGGCGCGTACGCTGTTGCCACAACGTGGGATGGCGGCAGCGGGACAGGGAGGGTGGTGTCGCGACGACGAGAACATGCGGGTCAGGCAGGCCTTGCAGAATCCGTGGCCGCAGTCGAGCAGCAAAGGGATCCTCTCATTCTCGTCGTACCTCGTGTGGCAAACTGAGCAGCAAGGCACCTTCATGCTGGATCTTCTTCTCGCTCGACGGATCAATCAATCTCACCCACAACTGGAATCAATTCCTCGCTGCTGCTGTAAGAGGAAGAACCCAAAAGAAGAAGAAGAAGAAGAAAAATTGGGGCTTTTTGATTCGGAAGAGACCAGATAGATCTCAGCTGATGATGGATGCCCTTGCTCGTTTCGATTCTACGAAAGAGAAATAATTATGTTTTAGAAGTAGAAGGGGACGAAACGAGAAATCAGCAGCTAGCTGTCTACGACTTCTCTCCCTCGCCTTTCTTTTCTTTTTACCTTTCCCATGCCCCGTCTCCCCTCGCCCACCTTTTCTCCCGGCCTCTATGACTGCAGCTCTCTCTAGATATCAATTTTCTCTCTCCTCTTATTAGTTAGTGCATTTTGCTCGGGCGAATTACAAAACAACCCCTGGGGTTATGTTTCTTACACCGGCTAAATTGCTCTCCAATGACTTAATTTTTTTCACGACTCTTCCGCTAAAGTGGCATTTACTGTAAAATCGAGTAGAAAAATATTTTAATGTATTTAAATATCATAGGTAAATACATTAACGTTAAAAAGAAGGGAAAAATATGTTCAGGCCCCAAAAGCAGAAAATTCATGTGAACAGGCCCATTGTATTCTGCCTCATGTGGATAAGCCCCAAAAACACACAGTATTTGTGACGAGACCCTAAAGTACCGTTTTTCAAAAAAAACCCAGTGAAAGTTACGAACTTGCCCATTTGATGGGACTGAAGTCGCTTATTGCGCCCCCTCCCTATTCAAGTACCATCTTCCTCTTCCCCCTCTCTTCCACCGCTGAGGAGCCACCGAAACTCTTGAAATTTCAATTTTCTGGTCGGATTTCAACAGTCCTTGGGTTTTCGTCAGAAAAATATCGTCTAGGAAAGCAGAATTCGTTAACGACTATGAAGTCGTTCATCGCGGTTCATCTGGGCTTGGCAGCGCGGAGGAAGCCACTCAAACCCTTATGGAAATGCAAAGGCAGGCAGTACAATGGCGAGACCGGAAAAGAAGAACGGCAAGTGTTGGCCGTACCAACGAACCCTCCCCAAAAAAGTAGTAAGTGCTATGTTATCCAGGATTTGGGGACTCGACCTAATTTTCACTAATTTCAGTTCATCTTAAACAATATTAGGGTTTACTACACTCCATGTTAGTTCTAGTTTGAGTCCATGTTAGTTCTAGATGCCCGTTAGTATTAGGTCTAACTTATGCCACGTTAGGTCTAATTGAACTTGCAAATTCGAATTTTTTTCACAGGAAAAAATTTGCTAATACTGATGCGGTCGAATCAATAAGGCTAACCACAAATATCAAGGCTTATTGGGAATTCATGAAGCGTATTGCCCCGAAGATATGTCAGTGGCATAGGGACGCATACTGCGGATCTATATTTGAGCACTATATATTATTTGGGGCTCCTGCGCCTGATCGACCCACACTTGAACTGCTACTGGGCTATTACGATAGTGCTAATGACACATTTTCTATCCCTGATTCAAAAACTGGGGGAGTAAAAAATGTTGAATTTGATTTACAATGGGTCCATAACCATACTTATTTCACAATTCATGGGGAACTCATAAATATCAATCGGGACTCAAGAAATAGAATCTGAATGGAATACTTCGCTAATCTTTTTAAAATTGAAGAGGGGAAGAAGTTAAAAAAGCAACAATCACCCATCAAAGATACCTTGAAGGGCAACTGGAAAAGGCTCGTGGAATCTATAGAAAAGCAGGATATTCAATACTTTGTTCTATTGCAAATTTTGTACCAATGTTCCATGATATGATGCTCTAGAAGCGGGAAAGGTATCCCTAAACCTGTACTCAGGTACCTGGATAGCATTGAGAGGGTCAAAGGAGTTGCCTGGGCCCAATTCTTTTATTCAGAAATTACCAAGGGCATTAGAGTTGCTTTGGAGGGCAAGAAGAAGATAGGGGTCACATATGTCCCAGGTTGCATGACACTACTGTGTGTAAGTTCCATGTTTTACTTACTTTGGTTCATTCTAGTTTTAATTTATGTCATATTAATTCTAGCTTATGCCATGTTAGTTCTAATTTACACCAGGTTAGTTCTAATTTACACCATGTTAGTTTTAGTTTACACCATGTTAGTTCTAATGTATGCTATGCTAATTCTAATTTATATCATGTTAGTTCTAGCTGCACCCATGTTAGTTCTAACAGAAATCATGTTAGTTCTATCTGGGTTCATGTTGGTTCTAACATAGATCATGGTAGTTCTAGTTTATGCCGTGTTGGTCCTAATTTACACCATGTTAGTAAAAGCCACACCCATGTTTTACTTACTTTTGTATAGTCTAGTTCTTTGGACCAACCTATGACCGAAAAGAAAAAAAGGTTAGTCACTTTCTCTTTTTCACATACACCGGGAGAAAGGGTGACGATAGCAATCCCAATTGCCTCCCCGGCCAGAGAGCCTCCAAGACAAGACAAGGGGGGCGGTGGTCAACCATCCACTCTCGATATGCATATTGATCAATCGATCTCCGCGTCCTGCCAGTTTGCTAAGTAGACTCACTCTACTGAGGGGCAACAAAGGCGACCGGAGGGAGGGAACTATTCCTACCAAAAACAAGGCTTCTTATCCTAGGAGTTTGCAAGTATGAGAGAGTCCTCTCTCTATCTGTCTCTCCGAGTTTTTACTCCTAAGTTTAAGTTAAGTAGCACTTCATCCCTTCTAGAATAGATTTATGCATTGTTAGTTCTAATTTGAATGCTTAATGTATTTGCTACTGCTTTGGTACTACGAGATGACGGGCATAAAGAAATATGCCTATGTCGACAGCACCAGTCCTCCAATGACAAATTGGGCATCAGAAGAGGTGAAAGTCCCATCTATGAGGGTGAGGACAATTGCATCAAATGCTAAGTCAGCTTCAATAACATTTGTTCATAGGCCTATTGTGGAAGTTGGGCTTGCTTCTTCAAATGTATTTGCACTTCCCGCAGTTCAGAGGGGTGAAGGAGTACATCATAAGCTTAAGGGCAAGAGGAAGGCGAATGAAGAGGAAACAAATAAGAACTTCTCAATAGGCTATGTAAGTATCCTGTTATATTAACTCTAAATTATTTCACGCTAACTGCAAACAATATCCATGTTATGTTTAATCCTACTTTAAATTATAATCTCTTAATTATCTCAGATCGTGGCAAATCATATTGACGATGCTTTTGAAGATGAAGAGGAGGTGAATGATCTCCCCATTGAGTAGCAACTTACCTTTTAGAGAAATTCTGCTAAATTTCTCAAATGACTACTATTTACCACAAAGAAGAGCAAAAGTACATATTGTAAAGAATTTATGATTGAGATCAACAGACTAAACAGAATAATTAAAAATTTTGGTAGACATGATGAGGTTATAGACCCGGTGGTGTAGAAGACAAATATCAAACAGAAAATTATAAAAAAAATAAAGTTGAAGCAATGGGTAGCTGAGGAGGAACAGAAGTCCAAATCAAACAGTGTACATAAGGAAGACCCCGCGATGCAAGAAGATATACATAAGATTGTTGAAGAGGAACTTGTAGATAGGGAAGAGGAGCATATGTTGATAATGAAAATCAGATTATAGATAAAGAGAAGGAGAATGTAGATAGGGAAGATGAGATTATAGATAAGGAAGATGAGAATGTAGATAGAGAAGGGGTGATTGTAGATAGTAAGGTTGAGGGCAAAGAATATAAGGAGGAGGAGAATGTAGATAGAGAAAGGCAGATTGTAGATAAGAAAGAGGAGAATGTAGATAGAGAATGGATGATTGTAGATAGTAAGGTTGAGGGCAAAGAAGATAAGGAGGAGGAGAATGCAGATAAGGTAGAGGAGCATGTCGGTAGAGAAGGGGAGAATGTAGATAGTAAGATTGAGGAGAATTTAGATATGGAGGAGGAACATGTAGATAGGAAAGAGAATTTTGTAAATATTACACAACAGGTGGACAAATTTGTAGAAGTTCTAATAAGTAATGTGCAAACGAAGGGTAGGCCACCGCCAAGAAGGGTAAGCAAGAGGTCTAAATGGAAAAGGACCCCATACACAGAAGGAAAATGAAAGAAAAAGCAAAAAGTTACTATAGATGTACTTTCAAGTCCTAAATATGTACGTACAATTGGCAAAGTTACTCATTTTTACCCCGACAATCAAATTCCCACTTGGGTTGCCTTGAGTTTGAAGCCAATGACAGAGGAGGAGGTAGCTCTATTGGGCGAGCTAAATAAAGAGATTCCAGACCCTGCATTATTTAACATACGCATAATAGATAGCAGCGGTGCTTTTGTACATAATTTTAGGATACAATCTACAGTAGCTGTCAGACTCGACAAAGCTCAGAATAATTGTCTAACTAAATTTTGCTCCCAAAAGATTCACAGGTAAGTTTCAATTGACTATCTATGCAAGCAATAATTCATCACATGTTAGTCCTAATTCATGTTAGTTCTAATTTTTAGGAGATATGATGTTATAAAAACATCCAATAGCAGTATTAACAGAGAAGAGTTGTTATATTTGCTTTGTGGTGGTCGGATTGACGACAATGTTAGATTATATATGCTTAATAATTAAAAAATCTTGTTTATATTGAATTCTAATGTTTCATTGATGTTATAGATGGAAAAAGCAGTGTTGGACACGCTTCAGCAAGAGGCATATGACAAAAAATTTAGAGTCGTCTCAGTGTTCTTTCTTGTAAGCATATGCTAGTTCTAAATTAGTATCGTGTTAGTTTGACTGAAATGCATGTTAGTTCTTGTTGGCTCCATGCTAGTTCTATCATGAGTCATGTTAGCTCTAGTTAGCGCCGCGTTAGTCCTACCATTGAACATGTTAGTTCTAATTTATATCATGTTAGTTCAAATTTATATCATGTTAGTTCTAATTTATACCATGTTAGTCCTAATTTATGTCATTTTAGTTCTATCGCAGCTCATGTTAGTTCTAATTTATATCATGTTAGTCCTAATTTATGTCATATTAGTCCTAATTTTTGTCATGTTAGTTCTAATTTATGTCACGTTAATTCTAATTTATGTCATCTTAGTTCTATTGCAGCTCATGTTAGTTCAAATTTATGTCACGTTAATCCTAATTTATACCATATTATTTCTAATTTATGCCATGTTAGTTCAAATTTATGTCACGTTAGTTCTAATTTATGTCATGTTAGTCCTAATTTATGCCATATTAGTTCTATTGCAGCTCATGTTAGTTTAAATTTATGCCACGTTAGTCCTAATTTATGTCATGTTAGTTCTACCGTAGTTCATGTTAGTTTATGCCATGTGAGTTCT